CAGTGCAACTAGGATCCCGTCTTAAAAGCTTCAAAAGGACTGAATTGCTTAAAAGGACCAGCTTTGATTTACTGATTTTTTGCGGATTTGCATCAGGGAATCTTTACCTGCCCTTTCTGTGCAAAAGGAGAGGAAGATGGCTAAGAAAAAATAAATAAGAAGCCCCAAGAGCAGCAAAATGTGATTGCAGTCCAATAACTGCAGCAGTTAATGTTTCTAGTCCTATTATTCACTTTTTAATTTTTAAAAGCATGTCGATATTGCCTTCCAAAAGGAAATGGTTTATTAGGGGAAAATAAAACTTTGCAGATCGGGATGATCTAGAAAACAGGTGACGAAAGCTTAGAAACATTAACAGTTTGGGCATTCAAACAATCCAGAACTGATCCAAAAATTAATAAATGCACCTAAAAATTCCTACAGAGAGTTGTCTAACTGTTCAAATAAGGAGGACCCCAAAAGCGTGTGAAATAAAATGGGTTGTCTAGGCACTTAACCCTTGTCATGGAATCATTTTTATTTCAATGTTTAAAATCCATCTGGAAAATGCCTTCCTTGATTCAAAGATGTATTATTTAATGGACTGGCTCCACTTTGTTTCAGAGCCTTTGTTTGCTGTCAGCGGTTTTGTGCAACTCTGGATAGCCCAATGATCTTTTGCAAAACATCTTTCTTCTTGGACAGTGAGGGGATAACTAACTGGAAAGAAAGGCTATTGCACTGGATTCTTTTTTTCCCTGCCAACAGAAAACCCCCACAGGAAAAACCCCAGTTTGCAATCAGAAAACCAATTTAATCACAGTCCCAACGATGGGAAAACGGCAGCTGGGATAGGACTGATAATTTCTCATATAATAGAAGATGAATTTGCATGAGAAACGGCCCGCGTCAATCCTGAATTCATTTTAACCCTGTTCCTAATCTATGAGTGGGTTGATAATTGACTGGCTTGCATGAAATCTTTGTGGCTGCTGCTTCTTGCAAAAATATAACAAAAACGTGCAGTTTTTTTTTTTTAAGTTACACAATATATAGGACAGATATTTGCCTGGATGATTAGAATAGCATCTAGGACTGTGCATGCAACATTTTTTGCTGGTAGGGACCAAAACATAAACAATGTTAGAATTAGGCTGTTCCCCCTCCAGGAAAATAAAAGGATCAACCTGTCTCTTATTATAATAAAATTTAATTTGATGGCTTTTATTTGGAAGTTGTAGAACTGATTTGGGGAGCAGGTCATCTTTTATGAGCAGTTGACTGCTGCGCTGAACATTAAACGGGTTTGCTTAATATTCATCTTGGAAGTCATGGGTTCACACTCTTCCCAGTTTAAAACAGTTTTGTGGAGCAGTTCATGTTCATATAGAAATTACACCCAAGAAGCAACTTGGGTTTATTTAAAAAAAATGGAATACAATGGACCCTTTCAGAATCACATTTTTGTCTTGCCAGGGTGTGACTTAGCAAGCTGGGAACGAATATTTAGTCCCTCAAATAACCCTCTGACCCTTCCTTTGGCATCCTTCCTTAGTGCCTGATGGTGGTTAATTTCAATTACAGTTCTCTTTTACTTCTCAAATGGGGAATTGCAATTCAGTGTCTGTTTACCTGATTAGCAAAGGGACAGAAAGATCCGTACTGTAAGGAGAGATCTGTAAATTGAGCAGTCAGGATTTGCATGGCAAATAAACCCACGCCCAGCTCTGTAAATGTAAATAAATGCCCCAACTCAGTTCATTTCATTGCTCATTAAAAGTCAACTGAAGAATGAGTATGAAGCAGGATGTTATTGCAGATCTATTAAGTGTCTTTTCAGGTTTATTATCACCAACATTGCAATAACAACTGCGAATGGGCAACTTTTATTATCATCCTTGGCAATTATTACTCCTATGGAGACACTGTAGGAGGAGAGCGGTGTTAGTCTGTGGTGGCAAAATAAAAAATGAGAAGAAGTCTGCTGACACCTTTTCTGAATCCTTCTCATTTGTATGGAGGCATTTAAATTGCCATTGTTAGAAGCTTATTGGGCATGTACATTTTTCTAGTTTTTTTTTTAATATTGCACTACAGGGTGCTATTTTTTATTCCTGAGCATGTCATTCATTGTACTGCATTGAGTAGCTTGGGGAATACAGTATTTATTTGTGCTCCTAGGGAAGGACCGCAGCTTGACAGGGGTTTTGGAAAGGCTCTGGTCTGAAAGCTGAAGAGCCAGACAGCTTACAGAAGGCTTGATGAATGCTGTGTGGAGGGAACTTTTTCTTCTCTTTTCTCTTCCAGTCAGTATCACTGCAATCGCTGGCCTTGGTTCAATGGAGGTTTCAAGGATGTTACCCTGAAACATGACCAGATGTCTTCATTTAGGGCGCTCCGTTCCCAGACTCCATGGCCACAGTAGCTTCATCCTTCATTGCTTCGTAATTATTCTCCCACTTAACTGAAAAGTTTCTTGCACAGGAACATCTCAAAGGAAAGACCCAGGTTCCTGCTTTATTCTGGGAATCTTTTGGTGATAGGCAAAAAGTGTTCTCCCTGTTTATCCAGATGTGGCTTGAGATAATAGTGCTTAGGGTAGAAAGAATAGCTAGAAAACATGCCATTTAGGATTTACGTCACATTTTCATAGGGTTCCACCTCAAAATGGCAAGAGGTTGTCTGGCAGCTTTTGGCAATGGCAGTTCAAAGGAGCTCCAGAGAGGGACACGATGTGCAACAGTGCATAGTCGCAGACCCGTAGGTTGCATTCACACTAAGTATCCAAACTCACACTAAGTATCCAAATCTCTTTCTATATTTGCACAAGCATTTTATCAATGGGAGCTCCAGCTGGAAGATGATTTAGAAATTTAGAATTTAGAAATTCAGCTTCATTTCCCATTTTTCCTACCACTGAATGATTCGAAGGTTAATATTTTAATTGTATAACTTGACATGAATATTCACTTAAGCTCATGTTAGTACATAAGTTGCACGCCTTTGAAGTTTCTTTTGATATATATACTTAAAAATGGTTTTGAAACTTGCATGACTGAATCTTTAAGGCTAGTAACAAAAAGAGTAGCTTCATCCTTCATTGCTTCATAATTCTCTCTTCAATTTTGCCAACTGACATGCTTTTAAGACAAGGCAGTAGATGACAAAGACGCGACCTAGGCTGTAACTGGTGGACAATCATCCACGAAAGCCAATGCTAGAAGACTCGTTGATGTTTGTTGCTACAAAGGAATATAGCTGTCCACCTGTAAGCCTCGTAAGAGGAGCGTTTATCTCCATTCTCACATAGGGGAGAATGTCTTTTCTACCATAAGAGAGACCTGCATCTTTAAGACCAAATGTATGGATGTGGTCTTTACTCTTTTCAAGGCGCAGTTCAAGGGCAAGGCTTAAGTGGAGACATGGCATTGCACAATCCAAGGTGTGTCTTCTCGGTTGCTAGGAAAGCACTGATATCTAAATATGTCAACAATGTGAATATGTTGACAATAGCCCAGCTGATCGTTTTCAGACCGGATTTCCTGGTTTGTCCAACTACATAGGAGAACTTGAGCTTTGGCATTTTGCAGGTCAAAGAAAAGTCCACTCCTTTCCCTCTTCCTATGATTTTATAATTAGCACACTCTAAACATAGAATGGGGGGGGGGGGAACAACAACCCAAGGGTTAGCATTGTTGTTGAACAATTTGGCATCAGAAACTTGCTGACATACCTTCCAGCCTCCCTAGCATGAGAGGGAGAGCTGAGCTTGCTGTTCTTCCTCTGTATTCTTCCTTGGAGCAATATCTCTCTGTCCCCAAGGACAAAGGATGGTTACATTAGTAGAGCTTTGCTTTTGGCTTGAACAGAAAACATCTGGATCTTGCATCTGAAGATCAGCAACCGGCCATCTCCTTTTTAATGAAGGCAAAATTTGCACTGAATTGAACGTGTTCAATTACCCTATCAGATTTGGAGTTAGTGAATTAATAAAATTTAACTATATCTTTCTCCCTTTTGTGGCCTACCTTCCCATGTCCAGTAACATCGGTCTATGAAATCCTTGAGCTGAGGCATGTCAGCACTTAGGAACATACATACAGGATTCACTTTAAACCTGTCATAATTATTTCATGTTGTTAATTACAAAGAGTTGGCACCCAACCTCTGTGAATAATTCCTGCAACAGGAGGAGACACTTGACCTGATTTATTGGTAATTGTGCTTTCAGTATGCACACCCACTTCTTTGAGCTTAAGCATGCTGCTGAGTGTTTGTACTGAATGAGTCACCTTCACAATAGTCAACTAGTACTGGAAAGTTCATAGAGAATATCATTTGCAAGCCTACTCTTGGAAGCCTTCAACCTTCTCCTGCGAGAGCTGATTGAAGCATTCCACAGCCGGTCCATGTTCTCATAAATCCATGTATGTTCTACTCATTAACATTACTGTACAAATCTGTTCTTGTTGGAGTGATTGTACAGATATCAAATAGTGAACAAAAGTTGTACACAGACTGCCAAATCTTTGAGGAAGGGCGCATAAAGGGTTGGGTGACCAGCATGGTACCAAATCTCACCGATGGTACCAGCAAAGTCAAGGAAATGATTTGCAACTAACGCAAGAGAACAAGAGAGAACGTAAGGAAATCAGCCCTTTGCCCTTCTCATCCATGGGGCCTAAGATATTGCTACCTATAACTTGCATCATTACTGACCGTTGGCCATGCTACCTTGAATAACGGGAGCTGCAGGTTGACTTCACTTTGCAAAACCAAGTTGGAGAGCTTCACCAGAAGAAGAAATTTTCTGCTCTTCACCAGCAAAGCATAAACAAATTCTGTATTATATTAAAGGGGTTAACTCTTTGTAGCCTTAAGTAACGAACATTGGCTATCTCTTGGAAGTGGCTCAACTAATAAAAGGCTATCCAGAACACATTCTTGAAGATTCAGACACTAAAAGTAGAATATCAGAGGTAGTCTTTTTTTGTTTAATTTAGTGAAGTGCTTGTAAAATATTGCTAAAATACTATATGCTTCTTTTTTAAAACATTGCTAACAACAAAAATCTGCCCAAACATAGAAGCATCAAAGTACCAGAAAATAATTAAAATGTGCTAAAGTGCTTGAGTCATTTTACAACCAAGTATAACTGGAAAGGCTACAAAGACAGAACAAACTACCATTTTAAAATTGCTTCTTGGCCTTTAAAATTACTAAGATCAAGGGTTGTGGGTAATTGTTCGATCTCAATTCAAAGTTTTGGTTTGTTTTTTTAAAGCATATATTTGGCTGAGAACTTTAATCATTTATCCAACTGTAAAAGATCAAAATAAGTCAAATTAGGCAGCTAAGTTTGGGAGGGTTTTTTTTTTTTTTTGCTTTCCTTTGTTTGTTAGAGTGAAAACAAATCCATCAAAATAATTTAGAGAACTTATGCCTGATGATCAACTAATTAAACAAAACAACTATAACCCTCAATATTTGGAACTGTTAGCAGAATCTATATCTTAAAATAAAAAATTGCAGGAAATGTTCCCTGACGAAATGGGCTGATTTTAAAACTGACATATCTGGTTTTAGGTATTAAAATAAAAAAGAAGGAAAAACAAATCTTTGTTCTTGAGAAATGAATGGTTTGTAAACAGAGCTGTCTTACTAGTTGAGGTATTCATGCGCCCAACACAGAGTGTGTGCAACCCATAAGAGCAATAAATGTTTAAATTATTCAAATTGTTTCCCCAATAAAACTGCCCATTTCCCCTAACCAAGGCTCTCTCTCAGCCTTTATTACCATCAAAGTACACATTGCAGGCCAGAGATGCAATCCTCTTGTTCTACTGTTATGGCTGGAGGTTCTATTGCAATGCCGTCGGGGATGCTGCTACTACGTGGCATCTGAAAGCAACTGGAAATAGCCCTTGCCCAATTGAAACAGTGCTGGCTTTAAAAGAAAACCTTCATGCATACACAGCGTGTGACAATCACAGCATGTAGAGTAGCACACTTTGCCCAGAGATACCCAGAACCGTTGGCCTTGGCTACAACATCTAGATATCAGAGGTACCAAATTCTAGTTGAGCTAAGCTCCCTGTGGAAAGTGCACCATATTTATAGGTCCAATTCAACTTTCAAGGAAGCACAAAGGCAATCTGTAGGCACCAGAGTGATCCCAAAGTAAACCAGTTGGCTTCAGTGCCAATCCCAAGCAAGTGTTTCCTTCCTGGCCCATAGCCCTCGCCTTGGTGATCTGTCGCAGATCTTTATTCTTCTCTTCAATGCATGCACCTAAAAATCATGCCCATTTATACATAACAGCAAAGTTTGCAGGTGTATCAATGGGAGGAAGAACACATAGGCCGTTAAGAGAACTGAATCTGGTTTTCTTTCTGATCTACAGGGTGCTACCTCTTGGGAATAATTCAGGTTGGACAACTGCTTAGGATTGTAAATAGACACCATCAGATACGGAAGACTGGGGAAGCCCTGTGAAAGCTTCCAGGTGAGCTTTGATGGGAACCCTTGTTACATTCATTTCCAGGATCGGTTGACAGCAGGACGGTGTCACACCTGGAACTCTTCTGCCAATCTTGTCTTGGGAGAATCTCTCTGGAGGCCAGCCAAGCCACCATCCATCGGACAGCAGTCCCCTGTGCCTGTTTCATGGCCGAGAATCTGTCTTTGCACTAGCTTGTAATAAAGGCCGCCTTCTTCCATCAGCTGCTTATGCGTCCCTTGTTGTACCACACGGCCCTTGTCGAGGACAATGATATTGTGTGCCTTTTCCACAGTGCTCAGTCTATGGGCTATGACAAGCACTGTGTGGTTCTGGACCTGCCCATAAATAGCTTTCTGGATCTGCCAAGAGGAAGAGAAACGGTTTATATCTAGAAAAAAAAATCCCACACATTTCTTTGCCTTTCTAGCCCAACCTGTCCCATCACCCAAAACACACTCTCCCCAAATCAGACAGGAAAATAATCAGCTGGCTTGCCCATGAGAGCTTCCAACCAATTAAGCTGCAAAACAAGAATAACAGGAACAGAGCAGTTTTAAATAAAGGCCCTCCTTAATAACATACTTAATCAGGTCAATATTAAGCTGAGTTTAGCTGGGGTTAATTTTGGTAACTTGGGGGTGGCTCGTATAAACCCAGCCTGTTTTCAATATTTATCTGTTAGGTAAACCCAACCTCTGGCTCATATAGTGTTTTCTCCTTTGATTTCTCCCAAGGATTTGATTGCCTGGGTCAACATCCTCCTCTCTGTGTGATGTTGGCAGTGCAATGTTTAGAGGTAGAGCCTCTTTTTGTTCGCAGAAGGCCTCGGTCTCTGATATCTCAGAGAGTCCCATGCAGCGCAGCTAAGAACAAACTCTGCTCGAGATTCAGGAAATCTGAACAGTATTGAGAGGGGAATGGCAGAGGTATGCCCCTCTTTCTTTCCATAATAGCCCTTTTTTAAACATATAATGCTTCTTGTGCAATTCCAGGGATCATCTATACATAAAAGAATTTCATTAAATAGGTCAATGGGGAAAAACATGGAGAGCATTTGACATGGTGCCTGGGGATCCATACAGATGGCGGCCGATACCGCTGGATTTCTTACTGGCACCTAAGGAAAGAAAACCCGTCCTGCTCACCGCGTGTTCGCTCTCTGCGTCCAAGGCACTTGTGGCTTCGTCTAAGATCAGGATTGGTGGGTTTCTGATTAAAGCCCTTGCAATAGCTACTCTCTGCTTCTGACCGCCGGAGAGTTGAGTTCCCTTTTCCCCTGCTTCTGTTGGAGCAAGGAAACAAAGAAAAAACAGTATGGTAAACTCTGTAGGACTTTACAAAAGAAAGTCATCCTTTCAGCCAGCTTTACCCTGACTTCAGTGAAACAATGATCTGACTCATAAGGTGGTGGTAAAGGCACTGGTTTGGGGGCAGATTAATTTGCTGTGAGAAGGGCTGTGGTGTCAGGCCCTAGTTCCAGTACCTGTGTGATAGGCATCTTGCAATTCCATAATAAAGGTGTGGGCATTGGCGTTTTGGGCAGCTTGAACAACTAATTCATACGGGACTGAGGCCAAACCGTAAGATATGTTTTTTGCAATAGATCGAGCAAACAGTACCGGCTCTTGGCTCACCAGAGAGATCTAGAGAGAAAATGGGGTACGGGGGGATGGGGGAGGAAGAGGAGGAGAAGACCTGGTTAAGGAATTGGCTGATTATCATTGCTCACAAAAACTTCTATCGTCGAAGAGAGTGAACTGTGGGAATTACATGATCTAATGTTCCTTGGTGGTTAATGCAGTCACTTATAACCACCCTGATAAATCTTCTGGAGCAATGTTCTCTTACATCTATTCCCCATGCCTTTCCCACCAACTGCTGCTGCAGTGCGACTGGCTGGCTGTTCAACAATTACTCACGGAACAAGTTCTCTCTGTTTTTTGGATCCAAGATGAGTTCTCCAAACTTTACACATTTTGCAGTTGAACCAAGGCGACACAATTGGTTTTATCTGGCTAATGGAACCTGGTAGCTGTGAGCTACAAGGGAAGAGGAGTCCCTCAGACTGCTGGAATCATCATTTGAGATTTCATCCAAAGTACTTGCAAACCTACCTCCACAACTCTAAGAGCTAGGATGTTCTTTTTTCCTTGGAAACTAATCTTTTCATACCCAGCCATATCCTAGCTACGCAGCTGCTGATGATTCATACCACTGAGTGAAGATACTTGTGCTGATACATGTCAATAGGCTGCCCATCCAGAAGAACCTGCCCCTGTTGGAGAGGGTAGAAATTCTCCAGGATGTTGACACAAGAGCTCTTCCCGCTGCCTGAAGGACCCACCAGAGCAGTCACTTTCCCAGGATGGAGCGTGAAGGAGACATCCTATGAGACAAACAGATCATCGTGTCTCATCCATTGCTTGCCATGATTTTATGTTACCTTTCAAGTGCAGGTATGTGCCAAGAGCTTGCATCTACAGAAGCCACTTGAAAAGGTATTCCTTTGCCCCACCAAAACTCAAAAGAGCCAATATGGAGAAACTGCAGTTTTAGAATCATGGCAGAAAGTTTAGCCTGTATTCTTTTCATCGTCCTTCTTTAGGTCTGGAATTTTGTGTAACTTGAAAAAGCAGGAGCTCTGGAATAATGAAGATCTCTGCTCTCCATCTAAAGCAGTAGATCTGTTTTGCATACTGCAACTAAACTATGGTTTAAACGGAGTTTATTAAATAAAGCACAGCACCAGAGTACACATAACACACTAAGCCCCGAGTACCATGTAAACTTAGCACTTTGTGTGAATGTAGATAAAACCTACCCAAACTATACCCAATGACAGAAAGAAAGCTTGTGTGTGATCTTCACGAGGGCCAAACTGGTGGTAGATAGTTTCTGCATGCAGTAATACACAAAGCGTATTGTTAACTTATCTTCCTGCTGCTAAAATCTTCAAGGCAGTGCCAGAATGACAAACCTTGATTAGCCCACACATAGATGACTACAACCAAGCACATCAAAAACAGACAGATATGAGACGCTTACCTGTAAGACTTGGGATGAAGGCCGGGTGTGGTAAGCAAAACTGACATTCTTAAACTCCACTCTTCCTTCCAGTTGGTTGGGGGCCAGAGTCCCATCGCTCATCATCGTTGGTTGACGGTCTATGAACTCAAACACCTTTTCAGCAGCTCCCACACCCTGCATGAGGCCGCTGTAAACTGAACCAATCGACTAAAAGAGAAAAAGAAGAAAAAACTAGAAGGTATCATCATTTGAAGAAAAATCTCACTATACGATGGAGATTGTAAGATTAAGAGCTAATTGTTGTGCATTTGAAAAGAAATACTCCAAGGAAATGCAGCTCTGGATGAGGGAAGGAAGTTTCGTATTTCTGCCTTAAAGAATGATAAATTGTAGGTTGCAGACAGATATGCAGCCGAGGATCTCCAACAGTTCTAGCCCGTGAAAAAGGTAAGTCCACAATTAAAATGCCACCAGAGAGCTCATTTTAGTAGAAAAACGCCTAGTGTATTTATGAAGACTCTTAGGCACAGACTTAGTTGAAAAATTCTATCAAAAGAATTCAAGACAACTTCAAACCTGGACATTCTTCATATTTACAAAATCCCAGCTCATACGTATGAGAAAACAGTGAAAGAAGCTCGGCTGAGATCAGATATGGGGGCTTCTTTCAGACTAGAACACAGACATGATCTGAAAAGTGTCACTTACCTCCATGCAGTCTCCCAAGACAAATTCATAAATAATGAAGGAGATCAAGTTTCCACTAGTCATTTGCTCAGTGATCACCAGGTGACCTCCGTAGTACAGGATGCTAACTTGAACGACGAGAAGGGTGAGCTGGAATCAAGGACCAACACCTGACTCACAAACAGAACTGTGCATTTCCCATGTTCCTCTTGCGAGGCAGCCATGTTCACCATCTTACAAATGGCGCAGAATGAGGTGGAAGCATGCTATGAGCCGAAACTTCAGTCGCTCGTTGAAATGGGCCAGAGGAGGAAGATGCAATTTTCAATGCAAGGTGTTGATCCATAAGACAGATGTTGTGCATAAAGCACTTATACATAAAGCATTAACATAGTGGAACTAACAAGGAAGTTTGGACAGCAAAACATGCACTCCAAAGGTATTTAAGAGTCAGAGCCACTGCGGGAGATGAGGACGGGGGAAGCTGTTTGCAGCAAACCCCGGCTGCACCCAGCACTCATTGGCTTGGTTTCTGCTACACTAAAGGAAGGAGCTTTGCAGTTATTTAAAACAGAGCTTCCTTCTACCCACCACCTTTTTTAAAGAAAGCAAAATGCTGGCGATTCAGCGTGATAACTTCTCTATACATTGCCGGTACTCTTCTATTCAGCTACAGCTCTGCTTCTTAAGGCCTTGAAAAAAGCTTTTCAAGATTTCAAATATGAATTTACTTCCGGCATCCTTCCTTTTCCTCTCACAAGACCCTCTCTTTGCTAACGCCTAAACTCAGATTGGATGGATTTTCATCCAAAAGCGATTTCCATCACTACCTCTTCCTATCGATCTGCCCAAAGCAGAAGCAGAGAAGGGACAGAAAAGATAAAAAGCAAAGGAACTCATGCCCTTCATCTCTGTTTAAGATAATATGGAATAGAGCTCTTAGTTATTTCTGTTGAAAAGAAAGAGTAAGAGAGAAGGAGCACACATTTCAACCTACTCCATTCGACCACACGTAGTACATATAAGCCATAGCCTCCTTTTTGTTGAGTTTGTAGACTTGCTGCAATTTGTCCCAATAGACATCAGCCTCTGCCTCCTCGTTGGCGAAGCTTCGGACTGTCTTCATAGCTGAGATGGTTTCTTCGGCGGTGTTGTTCGCCTTGGCCAAAGCATTCTGGACTTCTTTAGAGAGCTTCTAAATGGTCAAAGGAGAGAAGCAGAAGAGTCACCCCCAAAATGGAATGGTCCTATTTCAACAGTTCTCCAAGCTGCCCCCAAATTCGGGAGCTCACAAGGAGTTCCAGTCGCCAAACACAAATACATTTATGTGCATCTATGTGCAATCAGTCTACAGGCGCAAGAAATCTCTACATTAGCTTGAAAATATTTGAACAATATTAAGGGGCTTTGACCATTTAGGTATGTCAGTTGGCTGGATCATAACCAGCCAATTAGAAGCCTCACCCCAACACTGCAGATTGGGAGGGATGATTAAAGGAATATCAGATTATTCTAAGACTCCCTAGAAACCAACCTTATAGTATTTCCCATAAAGGTCTGACATCAGCATGATTATAGGGAAGCCCATGAAGGTCACCAAGGAAAGCTGCCATGAGAGGCTAAACATGAAAACAATGACCCCTGTGGCTTTGACCAGGTTGCGCAAAAAGATGTTGATGTTCTGGGAGACCAGATCACTCACGATTGTTGTGTCTGATGTTAGTCGGGAAATAATGTCGCCTGCAAGAGAGAAAGGAGGACAAGAACAGAAGGCAAAGCGTCATCAGAAAAGAAAACATTACAGGAGAGTAAAATCCCTAGAAAGTGGAATGGGGTATTTTAGCAGCCACAGGAAGAACTATTGTGACTGATTTTCCAGTGAGTCCAATATTCTCAAACTTTATGCAAAAAAGTTGAAGTTTTTAAGTAACTTCAAAGGGCTGCGAATTAAGAAAATCCTGATGCAGACAATCCTAAGGAAATAGCATTTTTAAAACGATATTTACACCCTTGATAACAGAGCAACATTCAGCAATGCAATGTTACACACGCACCCAGACGTCAGTCAACAAAAAATTCCAGTAGGACAAAATGATAAGAAAGAATAGCTAATGTAGGTGGCATTTGGGTAGGCTTGACAATAACATGAAAATCAGTTTGGGTTAATTTTTTTCCCCATGCTTGGTTTCCCCCTCTCTTTCTTTGCAGCAATCTTGGCTATTTCTCCAAATAAAATACTTTTGCAAACTTAGCCATGAGATCCATCTGATTCATACCAAGCTTTAGGGCTGTGGAAAGGGCCATTACCTGCATCTGCAAAACCACAACTGATTAGAATGCAGATTAGAACAGCTGTTGTATAAAGGGTTGCAGGTAGAGTTTAGTTCCAGCAAAGCCGTTCTGTCTCATGCAATAACGGAAAACAGGAACCAAGGAACTTGTGGTGATCTCTGATCAGATGGAAGCTGGTTGCTGCAACCCTCAACACTGCAGCCAGAAGCTAAATACACCCTTCACTTAAAACCACCAGGTCAAGACCCAAAGAGTGGTGCAATGCCTGATGGTAAATTCCAAGGCCTGTGGGGAAGCTGTCATTCCAAGCCAAAATTCCCACAAGGACATACCCAAACATTTCCTCAGAGGCCCCAAAGATCCGATTTAAGAAACTAGAGCACAGGGAGGAGTTTTCACTTGATGATCTAGACTAGGGGTTCAATTCGGCAGATGTTGCTGAACTCTAATTCCCAACAGCCTCAGTCATCATGATCAGCAATACTGCAGTTGAGCAACATTTGCAGGGCGACAGGTTCCCCGCACCTGGCATCACCGACAAGGTAGAGAAACTCACCGGTGAGATTTTCATCGAAGAAGCTCATTTCCTGCACAACTAGTGACCGGAACAGCCTGTTGCGAAGCCGGATGTTCAATCTAGCAAACACAAGGGTGAAGAGGCCGCCCCGGATACCTGCGGCAAATGAGCTGATTGCAGATAAGAGATGTTATAGGACCGACAGATACCAACAACACAACACACCTAAGGCCAGGCCTACCATTCCAAAAATGATACACAGCAAAAAAGCTACAGCTCCAAGGATTTTAGCTACCATCCCCAAAGTTGCAAATGTCACTGTATTTCTCAAAAGCAGGAGAAGTCAACAATATGCAGTGTACCTACTTGCAATGGTATGTGAGAAAGACCTTGAGAGACGGGGCGAAGAGATGCTGCCTAGGGAATGGTCAGATAAGAGGGGGCACAGCCCACAGCTGCATAAGGGGTGGAGAAAGAGGCTCAGAAGGGACCCTCCCTAGCCTCCCAGGCTGTAAAGGAGATGGGAGGGAGAACTGTATTTTCAGACCTGCAAGATTCTGTTATTGTAGCCTTACAATAAAGTAGAATTAGCTCATCTGGTCGTGTTTCCTGCCTGGTCTACCTGGTAAGGCTGACACTACACGAGCTGTTTTTATCCCTAGCAGACATCAGTCAAGGGCTGCTGCAACTAGGCACATGCCCCATTTTCTTTATCAAGAAAGAAGTGCTTCAAAGAGACACACGTATGATTCAAGTCAGATTTTGCTTCCAATGTTACATTCCAATGTAATTTTAAACCCAAGAGAAAGCATTCTGCAAAAGCAACATCTTTACTGGACAGGAGTAAAAAGTGGACCTTCCCAGTGAAACTCCATCCACAATGTTCTACAAAAAGGAGCTATTTCAGTTTGAGGAACCACTCCATACATTTCCCTACCTACAAAGTTTCCCAGACAGAAAGAAAACCCATGGAAACAGCAGAGAAGGGTGATTGAAAAAGAAGATTCCACTCAAACTCTACCTCTTCGTTTTAACTTGCAGTCCTTCCCCAAATCTAGAAACTGCAATTTCTTGGAAATCTGTGTCCCACCTAAGAGACAGTCTTGATGACAGGCTGGAGCCGTTACAAGACATGACACTCATTTCAGCTCAACATTTTCCAGTCTTCAGGCTATGAGGTAGCAAAGCACACCAAAGATCTAATAAAGCTACCTTCCTATGGCTAGAAGCGCCATGATCACCACTGCTCTGGAAAACTGGTCCATGCTCTTCTGGATGACTATTCCATCAATGGCCTGGCCAGTGTAGTAGGGAAGGAAAGTTTCTCCTGTCGGGGAACAAAAAAGCAGATTAAAAGTAAAAAGCCAATCAGAACTTAAGCACAGGGATTCTTGTGTCAATTTTAGAGTGATTTCTTTCCCAAGGCGCAAAAGAGGATTTGAAAAAGCTGGGAATAGGTTGATGATGTTAAGGATGGGCAAGCTGTGATCCACCAGATGTCGCAGGATTACAAGAGAAGTGACCACTCATCATGTAGGTGATGACAACTGGAGTCTAAGAATGACTGGAGCAGTGTTTCTCAACCTTGGTGACTTTAAGATGTGTGGACTTCAACTCCCAGAATATGCTGGCTGCGGAATTCTGGGAATTGAAGTCCACATGTTTTAAAGTCACCAAGGTTGAGAAACACTGGGCTGGAGGGTCATATGTTCTCCGCCCTTTGCATAAACCCATTTCAATGGTTCTAGCTAGCATTAACCTCCAATTTGATGTTGACCTTTCCCATGAAACTCCACCGAATGGCTTTTGGTAAGCTATGTTTTTTATTTTAACCAACACCTACACCACCACTTCTACTGCCACAAAAATACAGGGTCATAGCCCGTAGGCTTTGAAGCACAACACAGATACTAAACGTGGTTAGGAATGTTACAGGTCCTTCAATCTTTATACCCAACTCACTCACCTAAAGCAGCAAGTAAGAGGAAAAAAAAGGCCACCACGAGGAAGTGAGCATCTGGTTTGGTGTAGGACAAGAGTTTACAAATGGTGGCAGCTGGTGCCTCCTCCTTTTCCCGAACCCCAGGAGAATTAGGGTCTCCAATTTCTTCCGCTTCAGCCCTGGATTCAGAATTAATTCCTAAGGTATCCCTGGCCGGTGTCACAGAAGAGAGCAGCTGCCACAAGGAGAAGGTGGCCACCAGCGAGACGTAGGTCCAAGCAAACAGAGCCCAAAACCAAGGATCCTTGATGGTCTTTTTCACTTCAGAGTAAAGAAGCAACTTGACCAAGGCATAAATCCCAACTGCCAGACAGACCAGGACGATAAAGATCCGGGACCCTTTCAATCGTTTTGGACCATAACTGGTATTTTTGGCAACCCCGATGGAGGCCCCCAAGAGCAGGCAGCTCCGATATAAGCAAGACCCCCAAATGTCCAGCATGGAATCAAAGATGTTGAAGCGCTTGAGATCCTGCAGGATGCTACTGCTATGGCGATTATATTCGTACAGCAACGTGGTCAATGTCACGTCCACACCTATGAAGGTGAGAGTGCTAGCCACTGCTTTCCAGGCACGCATCTTAAACTGGTTCCAGAATGAGGTAGAGATGTAGAAATTGTAAAGCGGTCTCAAAGGGAAGGAAGAGACCAGAAGCTCCTAGCCCAGGGTTAATACCAACATTTCTCAGTTTTTCCTGCAAGAGAAGAGAGAACAGGACAGCGGTACTCACACATAATGCTTTTTAAACCATGATTTAAACAAGTCATAATAGCTGAGGTTCATCTCAGACCCCTGGGCTATGGCAAAAACAAACCACATTACAGTTTAGTGCCGAAACATACAATATATCCTGTGAGTCCACAAATTGCTGAAACCCTTGGGGGACAAAATAGCTTCCACTTGATTTTTCAAGCCATGACAGCTATACGAGTCAGAAGAGGAACAGGAGGAAAGAAAGGTCCACATTCAAAGTTAACTTTTGCCATTGTTCCTATTCCAGTCTTACACAATTTTTTCCTCTTCTCGGTTATGCAAAAGTTTCCTCTTCCAAGCCTTCAGTATCTAGACTTTGCTTCCTTCAAGCTGTTCCACACGGCCAGCCAAGACTTGTTTCACCACAGGCTGTGAGGGGAGCAGATCAGAAAAATCCAACTTTCCCAGATCTAGAGATACCAGAAGTTCTGACCAAGCCCTTGGCGTGGTTAAAAAATGGAGGTCCTCTGGCAGCCATCTTGCCCCGAGGGCCTGCTCCCTAAAGTTGCAGTCCTAAGACGACCTACCACAGGAGCACGTTCACTGAGTTCAATGGGATTTAATTCTCATCCACAAGCCTAGGCTTGCTTTGCAAGGAAGAGATGGTTGGGCCCTAAGCCATGACTGGTTTCATCAAGATCTAATGAGCACCTAGTTTGCCATATTAGAGTGCTTTGAACTTGATAGATACAGTCTTCTACATACTAACCTCTTATGCTCCCCCATACTCATCCCACGCTCCTACCCCTTCTTTTAGATTCTCCCTTTTTATATATTTTTATATCTGCTAGCTTTTGATGACCATTTTTAGATTTTTCTTTTCATGTTCTCCCTGTCTCTCTCTAGATCAGTGTTTCTCAACCCTGGCAACTTTACGATGTGTGGACTGCAACTCCCAGAATTCCCTAGCCACCATGGGTGGACTTCAACTCCCAGAATTCCCCAGCCAGCATGCTGGCTAGGGAATTCTGGGAG